AACGCGCGCCGCCCGACCGCAGGTACCCAGCCGCAACCACTGGTACCGCCACAAGTACCGCACGCACGCCTGGCACACGTACAAGTGCGACGACTGCGGCATTACGTACAAGTCGAAGCGCGGCTTCGAGGCGCACCTGGAGGCCAAGCACGACCGGCGCGTGGAGCGGACGGAAGCGCGAGCCGGCGCGCCGGCGCGACTGGGAGGGCGTGGCGCGCGCGCTCGAGGACACGCGCAAGCAGAAGGAGGAGGAGCTGGTGAGCGACATCATCAGCCGGGTGAAGCGCGAGTGTGCCATGGAGGGCGAGGACTACACGCGGCGCGGTTACGTCAAGCACTTCTGAGCAGCGCCGCGCGCGCGGCCCGACGCCACACACATACGGCTCCCTCGGCTAGCCAAACGTTTGTACAAATTGGTGTCGGTTCCCTCTCTTCAATCTCCGTGTACAGTGTCCATTGTTAAGGCGGGCGAGGATGCGCAGAGGCCGCGGTGCTCGGCCGGCCGTCCGTGCGACCGCCCGGCCGCACGGGTCACGGAACTCGCCGCCGCCGCCGCAGCGGGCGGCGGGCTACTCGAGAAATCATACTCATATTGTGTCTTTTCCGTGTAAGATATCTAAGTGTAGTCGGTGACATTAGCTCAATCATACGGAGATTACATTTTACCATTCTTATGACGTTGCAGTACGAGATTAAACTACGACTAAGAACGCTGTTTATTTGGAACATGGCCCGACAACGCGCCACAGCGCGACACGGGAGAACACGATTTGGTCCACCAACATTGAGACAGCGTGAACAGCCCGCCTGCCAATCTCAGTCAATCAACTTCAACACAACTGCAACACCCTGCAACGCCAGCTGACTAGAAACGTGAGCATTCTCAACTGAGATCACATAACACCGCAATGCGCGGGCAACCCACCCCGAAATTTGAACTAGATTTGAACTACCCTGGGCCGGGAGAATTCCGCGGCAGCTGTACCTACCACGCTGTAACGTTGGTCCAACACCACCGGATCGGACCGGACCAGACCAGCCAAGACCAGACCAGACCAGACCGGACCGGACCGGACCGCCCGGCGCCGCGGCGGACCGGCCGCCGGCGCTAGCCCATCGGCTGCACGGCGTCGTCGCCCAGCTCGGGTATGCTGCTGGCGTCGTCGCTGTCCTCCTCGTCGCCGCTGCTTGAGGTGTGCGTCTGCTCCTCGTCGCCGTCGGTGGCGCTGGTGGCGCCGTCTGTGTCGGCTGCCGGCGCTGCGTCGGCGCCCGACGGGTTCCACACGCTGGTGGAGAGCGTGTTGGCCGAGCCGGACGGCCTGCGTGTGGCGACGGCGCGCCGTCAGCGGCAGGTCTGGGGGCGCGGCGCCAACACCCCCCACACTCGGGACGCACGGGCCGCCGCTCGCTGTGTCCGCACTCGCGAGGTCACAAGTGGCGGCGCAAACGCCTTTATGTTGAAGCCGTAAGGTGGGGCAGGAGCTTGCATACAAGCGGCGGGCAAGGTAACTTTGAAAAGATGACAACGTAACTTAACGCTACCTTGTCATCAGTATTCACGACAACGGGCCGCAAACGTAATTCTAATTACAACAACATCGGATCCCTGATGAAATGAGTCCCTGATAGAAGCGCTACAGACGCTCCATAAATTCCGTCGCTCAAAGTTTGAATGTTGAATATCGATCCAGACGTTCCCAGTCAATGTCCCATAAAGCTTTGTTGCTACACACCCGACAGCCAAAGCACCTTCAAACAGGGTACAAAAGCTTCGTTGGGTATATCGCGAAGCGCGCCACACGCAAGTGCTTCTATCGTTCCTACATTTCACCGCGTACGTGCGCCACGCGGTTCTTGCTATGGTTACCACTCAACTGGTCATCCGAACTCGCTCGACGGCTCCCATGATACATCACGCCAGGCATGCTCACGGAAAAACAAGACAGCCTGACGGTCCAACATAGCGCACCCACGTGTGCACCACGACTCAGGGGCTGCACAACCGGCTTAACTGAGATTGCAAAACGGACTCGAGAGCCTATGGTCAGTCCTTACGCACACAGACCGGAGCAGACAGCTGACAGGCTGCCAGGGGGGGGGGGGGGGAGTGACCTCCAGCCGGCCGGGCAGGCCACAGCGGACTCACTTGGCGTCCACCGGCTCCATGGCATGCACGCTGGATGGGCGGGTGTGCTCCAGCCCGATCTGGCGTGACATCTGTCGGCGATACACGGCATCGGAGCTTACCCGACTAACCGATGGCGCACGGACTCCCAGCGAAGTGGACAAACATGGAAACGGAGGGAGGTGGCTATTTTGCTACCCGAGCCCAGATACTTCTACCAAAAGCCAGACGTCACTAACCAATCGACCACTTCATAACTATAACCTTCGGCGCCGAGTTTCGTGCACGAGGAGCAATGGTGGTGAGCTCCCACTCCTGACACAATATCTGGAACCTCGCGAGGCAACCTCGTCCGCCAGCGAAAAAGGACAAAAACGATACAGCGCACGGCTGTCATGCCACAGCACATCAGCACGGGTCCCCAACACTACACATCACAGCTGCGCTCGCCGGGATCCAATAGAACGTGACTGTGGTACAGCGGTGCTGCCACCTGGACGGGCTTGCCGGCCGTCGGCAGGAGACTGACCTCCATGTCGTCCACGACCTGCGGCGGCGGCGGCCCGTTCACCGACGCCGTCTGAAACAGGCGGCACACGCTGACGGCGGCGCCGGACGGGCTCGCCGCATCACGGAGACGCCGACCACCATGGCCGGTCGACCACCGTCGACCGATCATGGGCGGTCGCCTTCCTGGATGATGGGCGGTCGCCCCCTCCCCTCCCCCCCCGCTGGCTCCTGGGCTGTCGCCCTCCCCCTGCATTTTCGTCGACGACCACGGATGAATGGACATGCCTCGTCTGCACAACCAATCGAGCACAGCACACAAAATTGCCGGACATCAAACGGGATAAAACATCGAACTTGAGTAGAAATATGCGGTTTCGGGGATAGTATACTGCAGTAAATCAGTGTCCAAAGGGCACTTTTTTCCGATTAACTATCGCACGCCACTGTACTGGAATACATAACAACAATACTGAGCTTCTGATGACATATAGAAAGTAAGGATCCCAGCATCATGCAAGCAAGAACAACACTACATGCCTACACCTCCAAAGCTGCCTGTCCAGCTCCCACAGAGCATTTAAATTGATAGGCCAGCTGCTAGCCGCATTGACCTTCCCCAGATCGTAGCAACCAAGCGCATTAAGGTCACACTGGGTGCGCACCTTGGGCAGGGAGGGTACGCCCGCCAGGCTGGAGCGGGAGGCGCCGGAGGAGGCAGCCTGCAAGCCAGAGGAGGCGGTAGGGCTGGCCGCTGCGCCGCCGCTGCCCACCGACGGTATGTGAGGGATGCTGGCGCCGGAGGCACCGGAGGTACCGGAAGTGACGGGGCTGGCTGCCGCGCCGCCGCTGCCCACCGACGGTATGTGGGGGATGCTGGCGCCGGAGGTACCGGAGGTAACAGGACTGGCCGCCGCGCCGCCGCTGCCAACCGATGGTATGCGTGGGATGCTGGCGCCAGAGGTGCCGGAGGAGGCGGCCGGGTCCGGGCCGGCCGGCCCGCCACCGCCGGAGCCGGACGGCACGCGGGACAGGCTGGCGCGGGAGCCACCGGATCCGGACGGGAGCCGCTCGAGGCTGGAGTGCGAGCTGGGTCGGGTGGCCGGCGTGGAGAAGCCCTCTTCGGGCGGCGGCGAGGCCGGGCGGAGGCCGGCCACCGCCGACTGCGGGGCAGAGGAGCAGACCGGCGGAGTGGACACCTGGGGCAGGACGGGACAGACACGGGGTACCGAGGACTGGACACCTGGGGCAGGACGGGACAGACACGGGGTACCGAGGACTGGACACCTGGGGCAGGACGGGACAGACACGGGGTACCAAGGAATGGATACTGGGGGGGGCAACACGTAGTACCGAGGACTGGACACCTGGCAGGACGGCAGACACGGGGTACCGAGGACTGACACCTGGGCAAGACAGGGCAGACACGGGTACTGAGGACTGGACACCTGTGGCAGGACGGGACAGACACGGGGTACCGAGGACTGGACATTTGTGGCAGTACGGGACAGACACGGGGTACCGAGGACTGTACACCTGGGCAAGACAGGGCAGACACGGGGTACTGAGGACTGGACACCTGTGGCAGGACGGGACAGACGGGGTACCGAGGACTGGACATTTGTGGCAGGACGGGACAGACACGGGTACCAAGGATACACCTGGGGCAGGACAGGGAGATACGGGGTACCGATGACTGGACACCTGAGGCAGGGCGGGACAGACACGGGGTACCGAGGACTGGACACCTGGGGCAGGACGGGACAGACACGGGGTACCAAGGACTGGACACCTGGGTCAGGACAGGGCAGATACGGGGTACCGAGGACTGGACACCTGGGGAAGGACAGAGGAGAACTTGGGTAGCGAGGGCTAGACATCTGGAGCAGGACAGAGAAGACGGGATATATTTCGAAGGACTGGTCACCTGGGACAGGACAAAGGCTGCCTAAAAACACGCTATGGCTTGTCCGTACTTCCCTGGAACATCACACAAACACCGGAAACTTTCCGAGCTGGGTTAAATCACGACGCACGCCTGTGAGAGTACTTATTTGCCGTGATCTGGAGGGCTGTTCGGCTCGGAAGTCAGCTGGTGAATGGAACACATTCCCAAAAATAACGAAAATGGTATCGGACCCACATCCGACAGGACCGCACACAAAGCCAGCTCGGCCCCGCTGTCGCGGAAGCCCGCCGGCCGAGGCCGCCGCTCACCTGGGAGTGCGTGGAGCCGGTGCGCTTGGTCAGGCTCGTGCCGCTGCCCGCGCGTCCGTCGGGCGGCTTCTCGGCAGCACGCAGCCGCTCGTAGCGGGCTGACGGCGAGTCCTCGTCCAGGCTGGTGCCGCTCTCCACCCGGTGGATGGTGGTGGACTTGATCAGCGAGCTCTGCCCTGCGGCGGCGTGGTCAGATGGTCAGACGGTCCTACGGCCGGTGCCTGGTGCTTCGCAGCGCACTCTCCTAGATCGGCGCGCATGAACAAGTGACACCGACGTGCCTATTCACGTTGATACACATATAAAGTGCGCGTATGATGACGCGCCCTGGATACGTTAGCATGACCCCAATGTGCGCCATACACTGAGGTGTGACACTCCCACGCGTGGTAACCGCCAACAGAACACCGATCACAGCTACCACGACTGACAAGCTGTTGACGCCTCTCTCCCATCACTCGTCCCCCTGTCATCCAGGCGTCCGGCCGGCTGCTGCCTGCCTCGCTCGGTGGCGCCGCGAGCCCGCGGCCTGCCGGCGGCCGACACCCACCCTGACCACGTCTGGTGAACCGCTCCAGAATGTGCTTGCTGGCGTTGGCCTTGAACTTAAACGGCGGCTGTCGGCGGCCCTGGCGCGGCTCGAAGGCCTCCTCGTCATATCTGAGGACGAAGGCAAGTATTATCGAGGGCCGTTCGCGGCCGGGGTGGCAGTATAACAGAGGATGACAACTCCACTGTCGCCGCCCACGGCTTCCGCGGCAGCATAGTCACCACAGGTCTCTCGCGTCCTTCACTCCGAGACAATTCGAAACGGCGTCGCCTTCCACACACAAGCTACACGGCGTCGGCTCCTGGCCACCACGCAGTGAGCACCGCGCGGCCTGGCGCGCCGCACTGCCGGCCGCTGGCGGCGCCGGTTACCGTGTCGACTGGCCGCCGTCCCAGGAGTCGGCGGGGGCCCAGCCGGCGCGGCCGCCGCCGGCAGGTCGGCCGGCCGGCGAGTGCGAGGCCGAACGGCGCAGCGCCGCCCGCTGCATCAGCTGGGCGTCGATGGTGGCGCTGGACGGCACGGCCCCTGCGGCACGGCACGGGACGCTCAGCTCGCGGCATGGCCCCTGCGGCACGGCACGGCACGCTTGGCTCACGGCACGGCCCCTGCGGCACGGCACGGAACGCTCAGCTCACGGCACGGCCCCTGCGGCACGGCACGGCACGCTTAGCTCACGGCACGACACGGCACGGCACGGCACGGCACACCCAGCTCACGGCACGGCCCCTGCAGCACGGCACGGCACGCTTAGCTCACGGCACGGCCCCTGCGGCACAGCATGGCACGCTCAGCTCACGGCACGAAACGGCACGGCACACCCAGCTCACGGCACGAAACGGCACGGCACACCCAGCTCACGGCACGGCCCCTGCGGCACGGCGCGGCACGCTTGGCTCACGGCACGACACGGCACGGCACGGCACGGAACGGCACACCCAGCTCACGGCACGGCACGACACGGAACGGCATGCTTAGCTCACGACACGGCATGGCACAGCCCCTGCGGCACGGCACGCTTAGCTCGCCCAGAGCCTAGGCAACGACCGTGCGCCGCGACCGCGCGAGTGAATGCAGCAGACAAGGCGAGCAGCATCGCAGCGCTAAACGCTACCAGTGTTTATATGTACAAGGCAGGGCCAATGGTGGTCAGTTCAGTAAAGGTCAATATTACACGCTACGTTTCTGTACTTTAAGTGGGCAATGTCTAAGTCTCAGCCGCGCGAAGCCAAGCGCATCCGCTTCGTGTGTGTTATGTCGAACCAAATCTACTCCCCCATTCCATCCACGGCCGCTGGTATTGCAATCAAAAACTTCTGGTCGTCACCTCCTGATGGCTTACGTCGTGAAACGTGTCGGTAAGGTGGTAAAAATATCGGGAGTTCGTTTGACACGGTTCGCTGGTGCTTCCCGCTTTTTGAGATCCCAACAGAGTCAATTCCTGAACTGAACCTCAATAAAAACAAAACAAATAAAAGAGAAAAAAAATGAAATGAACCCAAATCAATAGCATAAAGACTGCGACGCGTGTAACAAGTCGCCCCATGCACCATCAGTCATACGCCGACCCATATCATGAAGCCTACAGCACGGCCCGCGCACCAGGGCCGGGACATCGCACACCAGACACAACACCAGCCAGCCCTGCACACTCAGGAGGTGGGATCAGCGGCTCCAGCCGGCCAGTGCTGCTCGGGCGTGGGCCGACGCCGCGCCGCACCTCTGTTGCCGCCGAGCGAGACGAGCGAGCGCGAGATGTCGGCGCCGCGCGCCATCATGTCCCGCGCGAACACGGCCAGTCGGCTGGGCCGCTTCGACGAGAGGGTGCTGAACTTGGCCAGCCGCTGGCTGACGTCGTCGTCCATCTGGCGCCGCCGGTCGCCCAGCCCGTTCGACTGTGGGAGCGCGCGGCGGTCACAGCGCCAAAACGGCACGACACTGCTGATTGCTGCCATATTTGGGAGGGCCACTGCGAGTGCTGGCATTTCTGGAATGCGCCTAACCTCTCACGAGGCTCCGCCCGGAAGCCAAACCTTGCACCATGATCATACGATGGTGAGTGAATGTCTGACTATGCAAAACAAGCATCAAGAGCTAACATGTTCAGATAATTAGTGAAGCCAAGTGAGCCGACGGCTGGGAAAACAAGTATTTCATGAGCCAGGCGAACTAGCTGTCTACACACTTAAGACGGGATAGCACGTCCAACCAGCTGACAAAACCTAGTGAGGCTATTAACCTTGCATGACCATCCGGAGCATGTACGGGAGGGGACGGGCAGGCATCGCACCCCGTGGCATGTTCTAAAAAGGCGCAAAACGTTTTGCGCCGTCTTCCTGAAACTTTTCCTTATCTCACACAACTTTCAAAGACACTGCAACTTTTGGGTTCAGGTGCACCAAGTGATTTCAAATCAGGGGCCTAGATAAATTTTACCAGGCCCATGCAGAAACAAATGTAGTTGTTTAGTTCAGCGAGCTGAAACTGCAAACGCGTTCCAATGTGGCTGTGCTTTTTGTCTAACAGGTTCCCTAGATATTGTCGCTATCACCTTATTTGCAAATGACAGTCTGACGTCATCATAGGTGGATGAGTTGCCATAGGGAAGTTGTCGTTTGCCCCTGGCCTTTCGTAACTCTTTACTTCCGTAATGTGTAAAAGTAAATCATTTTCAGAATTGAGAATGTCGCCTCCCGCACTTTACCTGCAAGCGACATGCTTCCCAACACATATCATCAAAGGCCACTGTCACAAGTTTGCATTTTAATCCGTGGCTTGGAAATACGCATTCGAACAACACAATATCTTCGCTTTCATTCGTTCCTAACCCTGACAGCACCACCATATTTGCTTGTAACGTTTTTCCAACAAAGGTGATTATAGTTCACTTCCCAACGTTGACTTAAAAAACAACTTGAAACTGGCTTGACAACTGGTTGAGGCCAAATATCAATAGCGTGTACTTCTGGGTTGAGCGAAGCGCCGTTGAGTTGCTGGCATATAGGAACGCCAGATACATTTCTGGGTCAATTGTTCACATGTCAGCATACATATCATGCATGACCTGATTTCCCTCTGACCACAAATTAATGATACCGGGCAGAAGCTGTTCAAAGCTTTGTGCGACCGTGTGCCTGGTGTTTCATCTCTATCCAGTCCCGAGATAGCAGGGATAGCTAATTAACCGCCGGCTCCCCCCGTCGGCTGTACGTTGGAGCGGAGATTAGTCAGTGCGAGACGCAACGCTCCCCCAGTCATTATAGCACAATGGAAACTGTGCTTGTGCGTTGAACATGCACATCTAAATATTCAAGCATTAAAATCCCGCGCAATGAGGAGGCCGTACATGTGTTTACATGTCTTATATCTGTTAACGGCATGTAAACACATATGCAACAAGTATATCTGTTTACAGACGAAATGACTCAGTACCTTCTTAAGGAGCAGGAAAAATGTCCTTTAATCTGACAACTGCTTTTCGTCGTCTTTCTTGGAAATTGAGGTAGTGTGCACGTGTTTCCGTGCACGTGCGCGTATTTGTGCACGTGTTTCTCGAGCAGACACCTGCACTCGCAGGGGCAAAAATGCAACTGACAACCGCTAGAGGTTAACGGTACCTTTTACAAGGCCACTAATAAACCTACTTTTTGGGGTCGGTCACTCAGTGCATTCGTTCAGTATCATAGTGTCATTCGTACTGCCGGTAAGGACGTGTATCTGTTCACAGGAGCGATATCTGCAGCATTTCCCAAACGGATGCGTGTGTTCACCACAACGCACCAGACTTAACGCTTTCCGGCCTCCAGAGAGCACAGAAAAGCCCCAAGCGAGGATAAACAGCCCGTGTGGACACAAAAGTTGGCTGCCGGGGAGGCTCGTGACTGGAGAAGTTTCAGGGCCCATTTCGCCGCCAGGGACCCTACTCTGGTGCCGGGGCCCTAATAGCTTCACTTACCGGAGCACCGTTGATCGCCCCGGGGCCCTTGCATTGGTCCCGGGTCAGTCCCATGTGCTCAGGACCTGATCGGTAGCAGCTGGCCTTTATACTTTGATCTGCAGGGGTGCTCTGCTCGCTCCGGGCCTCTACATTAGTTTTGGGTCGTCTGCATTGAGGCTTCACGACGCACGGAGCTACTGAGGCTGTATGACGTTGCCTATCTTCCCACCCTGGTACGAAGAGGTCCATTAAAGTTGCCATTAATGTTGTTGTAGCTTTTCATGTTGGCCCGTTATTCATTTCACAGCAATGCGGCGACTGTGTGATGGAGAAACGTTCACACTCGAGGTTTGGGAAAGTGGTGATTAAGGCAATACAGCGGCCTGCGTCTGGTAAGGTTTCGGGCAAAGTGGTCACGTTTCATCATTATGTTGACGCCGTGCAGTGAAGCACACATTATATACATATACATACATACATATATATATATATATATATATATATATATATATATATTCTGTTCTGTCCAGTTTCTGGCAAAATACCAACATTTATTTCAAAATGTTCATTGAACCGTTCGATCATACGCACACATTTTAGGTTCCTTTACAAAATAATGTCCCTGATAAAGCCGTCGACAGACAACGCAGTTCCTTCCGCACTCCTGTCTGCTCCTCACATGACCATTCATGATATTGTCCTTTCAGGTTTGACTGCCTTCGGTAAAATATCAGAGGTTGGCTATTACATACTTACATTAAGTGTTCCCTTAAATGTGATCTGACTAATCTGATCATGTGATCTGACTGTGATGAAAATCTAACTAATGTGAGGCACATGGCTGGAGTAAAATACGAGTGGAATCAAGACCAACATTTTTACATTCATGCTTTCCTTAACTGTTGTCAAAAATTGCCCGCGATCAACTGCGGCGAACCTGCCAGACATTGTTATTTACTCTGTCGGAATGCATGACTGTATAAAATAACGCCGTGGGTATAACAGAGGCGAACTGGGAGATCGCATCGTATCTGGGTATATGCGGAGTCGTCAAATAAGGTGGGATTTAACCGGTGAGCAGCAAGGACGCGTTTGGAGGTGGCGGGCGGGGCGTACAGTGACGCGGGGTGGACAAAGCAAAGCTTCCCTCAGCTGAGCGTACTAGAACATCGGAACGTCAAAACATAACTGACTTGATAAGTTAGTAGGAAAAAGTAAAGGAGTAAAGAAGTTGTCGTGGAGATGTCACACATCAGGACTTGCCGTACCGTAAGGTCAATGCTACCTGATAATGAAACTAAGAAAAGGGCACTTCTTTCGAAAAATGCTTTGTGGTAAGACCCATGAGCCAAAAAGCACATGCGTCACCCGAGAACTATTGTTGAAATTTTGCTTCAACTCCGACTAGCAAGGCACTATCGCACAAATCACAGAACGAAGAACATCTAAGTAGTTGCTAATCTTTTTTGTTT